CAATCTAGTTATGATTAAGGTGCCAATGTCATTGTTTGTGTAAAACAATATCTGAGCTTGTTCATCTCTTTTGTGTTTGTTGATACCGATTATCTATTTTGTTGCTACACATTCAATGTTTGTTATGTCCAAGCATGTTGATTAATGATAGGTACTCCTTCAAATCCCTTTCTGGGGTTCCTTCGAAGAACAATTACTTCACAGAAATGCGTACAGATGTGAAACAGGTTTTGCTGCATACTTTCTTTGGCTCTCCTAAAGAAGGCATATACAGTCCATCCGTTCAAAGCACACTATATGACATGGCAAAGGCTGTTCTTGGCAGGTTCTTTCTATAACTTCATCCATTAATTAGTTTCAACTGCTACAAAGAGTTTCAGTTTTCATGGATAATCTTTACTTCAAACTATCATGATATCAGCTTCAAAGACATAGTATCAATCCAGTTAAAGATGCCAAATCTTCACTTTTTGCCTGTCAACTTGTCAAGCAAAGATAATTCAGCTATTGTCAAGGTATGAATATTTTTCACTTAGGTTCAATTAATATTTATGTGGAGGATTGATTCCTTTTCATCTTTTCATTTCTCTATTCTTTTACTCCATCTTTTTTTTAATCTTCTTTATCTTTCTCATGTTCTTTATCCTTCTATCCTTTTCATCTTATATACTTCCTCCGTTCTTTTTTAGTTGCAACATTCACTTTTTCACGTTTGCCAATGCACAATTTTGACTGTCATTATATTTAATTTTGTATTAGTAAAAAATAATTAAAAATCAGATTATGAAACTTTATAATGAGATGAGTTCAATGATCTTTTTTTAAAAAAATCACATACATTAATAAATAAAATGCAGTCAAAGTAGAGTACATGAATAGTGTGTAATTTGCAATGTTGCAACTAATGCGATACGGAGGATAATATATTTTTATCCTTTTTATCTTATATTTTTTTAATCCCTTTAATCTTAGTATTTCTATCTTTATCTTATCTTTTTTTTCAATCTTACCTTATCCTTTTATCTTTCTTATCTTTTTAATATTCTTTATCTTTTTGGCTCCATAATAAGGTCTGGGATCGGTTTGGTTCTTGTTAAAATTCGATGGAACCGTATAAAAATCGTAGGCGTTAAATTCAGTTTGGTTCTAGTTAAAAATGTAGTTAAATTTTGTTCGGTTCTAGTTAAATTCGGTTCGGTTCTTTTTTCGGTTCCTAACAAAAATTTACTATCCTCCTGAAATGAACACACTTGAGTTGCATAAAAAAATTCAAATTTTAAATCACGAAATTATGACGATTACATTATAAATGCATGATATCTCAATGTTCAAATATCCAAAGACATATCCAAGTACAACATTAAATTTAAACATAACAAAAATCTCGATTTAAAATAGACATCAACTGTCAAGCAAAAAGGTTCAATAGCCCCAGAGTACACATCCAATAGCAGGTAGTTCAACCCCAAAATAATATTCTTCTTCTAGTAATGCAGAATAAGTAAAAACTACGTAGTAATAAACAACGTAATCAACAAAATGTTAATTCTTTTTTTGTAGTGAACTCCAATAACAAATTACAAACAAAAAATAAATATAAAAATGGACTAAAGTATTAAAATGATAACTACTCGGATTGGCGTGGTCCACAATATATAAGGTATATTATGCAAGAATAATATTCTTGACAAGAACTTTTTGCCTTGAACGCCGTCTGACCGCCTTCATTTGAGGTACTTCAGTGAAGATTTTTTTTGATAAAGTTTTGTGAGCATGTTCTACATGAAATGTAGATTACATATACCAAATTTCAGTTTAAAATTCAATTAGGAAGTGAGTTAAATAAAATATTGAAAAAATTGCATTTTTTTTATATATTTTGGCGTAATGTTTTTCAATAATTTATTTAACTAACTTCCCGATTGTATTTTAAGCTCAAATTTGGTGGATATAATCTTTATTTAATAGAAAACAACCTGACAAAATTTCATCGAAAAATTCCACCCGGAAACGCCTCAAATGAAGATTACTCATGCAGTGTATGAGAAGTTCGGTTCCTGGCCCGGAACCGAACCGATGAAAGACTATAGGAACCGAACCGAAAAAAAGTGAAGTCCAAAATTATAGGAACCGAACCGGAAATTTCGGTTCGGTTCGGATCGGTTTTCCCGGTTTTCGGTTCTAAGTCCCAGCCCTACTCCATATTCATATCTCGATTCATTTGAAATGGAGTCAAAGACTCACTATTTTTTTGGTTTGGGAATATGATGGAATAAAGCAAAATGACTCACTAAATTGTATGCGCTTCTTTGTTATGAAGCAACAACCAGTCCATGTAATTTTTGATGTGATTTCCACTATGGGTCATCCAGAAACAATCTCTTTGTGCTTTAGCACAGGGGTAAGATTGCGTACATCCGACCCCCTTACCCCACTGCCACAAAGGCTCCCACCTACAGTGGGGTAATGATAATGATGATTCATATCTTGATTCACGTTAGTTGACCCAAATTCTTTGGGCCTACGCTTGGATGTTGCTATAACTAGAGCACAATTTGATGAACTGATGACGATTAGAATGCTCTATAGGCAAATCCAATTAGTCCAATGTGAAACTATGGTTAGTAGTGTGTTTAAATCCAATTCCTTCGAGTTTTCATAGCCATGCAATATATTTTCCAAGATTAATAATTCTGCTTTTAGATATGAAACGTCATGTTTTTTACATTACAGTTTGATGATGATGTGTATTTGCCAACGGATGAACCACATGGCTCAATCGAGGCAACTCTGAGCCGCATTAACTCAAAGATTTAAGCTCTGGTTGGTTATCACCAAAGGCCACTTGCTCACGAGAGTTTGCTACTTCCTACTTCGGAATATATTTGGTGTATTACACGCAAACCACACAATTGAATTAATTGGTCACAAGCTACATGACTCATACAGTTGTGAAATATGATGAATAAATCTGATTTAATCTGTGTTTGCAACCGATTGTGCTTGCTCTTCTGAATCAATCATCATCATCACCTGATTTTTCTCAATTTTTTGGGATCTATAATTCGTTGAAATGCTATCTAAAAATTTTGGAATCCATAAATTTGTGCAGAAGCAGCAACGGATGTTTTTATGTACGATACCGTTTTCTGAGATTTGTTTTAGCTTTAAGACATGAGTCACATGATAGAGTGACCCGCATATTAAAGAATTTTTTTGTGGCTGAAATTTGTAAAGCATAAGTGAGTTTCAATTGCACAGAATTTCCCAATAGTCCAATACAGCGTGACAAATTTTGTGGGACGGCGAGACATTTGTGGGAAAGACAGTAATAAAGGATACACAGATGGTTCAAGTATTATTTAATTTAAAAATAATACTCCGTATATAAGAGGAAGAATTTTGCACTTGCAATCTGTCTTGAAAGCCAGTCAAGCTACTCTCTTTGTCATGAAGTAAATGTCATGTATGGGTTTGATATGTTTATTTTATAATAAAGGGGTTGAAAAGTTAAAATGTGCCTAATTTGAGTTTATTTATATGGGTTTGATATGTTTATTTTATAGCAAAGGGGTTGAAAAGTATGCCTCTGACTGACAAGCACTATTAGAACTAAAGTATGTTTTTAACTCTTGCGTGTTCAATGACATCATATACTGATTGATAGAGTCAACTACATCTAGAGTTGGAGCTAATATAGCCCGCTTCTCTAAGTATGCTGGATCATCATCAATATCAGGATAGCTGGGGCATGTACTGCGAACTATGGATGCTATCGGATCACTTTCATATCTAAACAAAATATCATTTTGTCGTATATTCCTATGGGGTGGTAAGTTTGCAAAGGTAGCTTGGGATGACATTTGTCTCCCAAAAGAGGAGGGGGGGCTTGGCATTCATAATGCCAAGGTATGGAATCACGCCCTTCTCTCTCGGACCTTATGGGATGTCCATATGAAGAAGGACACCCTTTGGGTAAAATGGGTGAATGAGATATACCTCCAAGGTAGAACCGTGTGGGATTTCAGCCCACACACCCGAGACTCACAGCTCATGAAGCGATTGAGTCTCATACGAGATAAAATATGTGGATGTTTCAATAACCTAAACGACACTATTATGGGCCTAGCTTCTAGATCCACTAATGGTAAATTAGCGTCTGCTAAGATTTATGATCTACTTAGAGTCAAAGGTGAGGGTAGGGCTTCTATGAGTTTCATTTGGAAAACGTACATTCCACCCAAACTCTCATTTAATACTTGGCTTGCCTTAAGAAACCGGCTACCTACACAGGATAGCCTCGGGTACCTTTATATCGTGAACCGTTGTGATCTTTGCAAGGGTGGTTTGGAAACAATACCACACCTTTTCTTCCTTTGTTCCTTTACTTGTAGGGTATGGCACCACATAAGAAGTTGGTTGGGCCTAACGCATGAGATGTCCACTTTGTTGAGCTCGATCAAATGGATCAAGAAGACTTATAGAGGTTCAACACTAAAGGCAAAAGCTGCTCGTACCGCTTTCTGTGCAACTGTGTACTACATTTGGCATGCTAGGAATGAATGCCGATTTGACGAAAAAAACAAGACCGAAGGAGAAGTCATTGCCAAGGTCAAACATGTGGTATATAAGGTACTTTACAACATATACCCACATGAGTTGATCACCTTCTGAAAAGGACGCTATGGATTGTAGTGAGAGCCTCTGTACTGGAACCCGAGGTGTGTGAGTGCGTGCATCCTGCCGCACAGTTTAGTTTGTGATTCGTGATTTTTTAAGCCACGGCATGTTTACGCCCTTTGGCTATTTCTTTTTTGTGAGGTTGATTGATGAATTGTAAGTTGCTTCTGGCGCTCTCCTATTTTACAGGAGGGGGTGGGGGGGCCTTTAAAATTTTTGAAACCTTGTAACCTTTACTCTGGATAATAATATATTTACGGTTTATCCAAAAAAAAAAAAAAAATATCATCCGTAATTTCAATTGTTGCAAACCCATTCGATGAATCTCACCATCGCCAATACTTGCAATCCATTCAGCGAATTTTCTAACCTCTTCAAAATTACCTCTGGTATCGTCACTTTGCAGCCTCATATTTTTTGTTAGCCGAAAAACCATACAAAACCTCCACAAATAAGAAGCATTAATAGTAGCACGAACGATATCATTTTGAGAACCTTTGGAAATCACAGGTAATATTTGACGAAAATCACCTCCAAAAACAATGGTTTTTCCTCCAAAAGGCGAACTCAAACTCATACGATTGGTGAATTGCAATATATCACGCATAGTCCTATCAAGTGCTTTAAATATAGTAAGTCGGGTTAGAATTATACTACTATTTTTTCTAGTATTTATTCATTAATAATTCAGTGAAGATTTCTATTATTGTTTATTTTTGATGTCATAACTGGAGTAATTCTCACACACACTAAGAACAATAGATCTGGTGTGTGAATATGATATTTTATTCTAAATTGTTTTGATCTGTGTGTTCTGGCCCGCATTTTACAAAACCATTTTAAACATGGAATTTTCTAAAACAATTAATACGTATGCACTTAAACATCAACATTTTGAATAGGATTTAAATTTAAGTACATACCCCAATGTTCTTAAAAGGGAATCTATGCTACTTGTACCTTTTCTACGGATTTCTGAATGGTGTTACCATCTACCTACTTTCTCAACAAAAGCTTAATTTTATATGTCTAAAATTGAAAATTGGAAACAAATATACATGAGGGTATGAAACGAGTTATTAAAACATACCTTGAATGATAGAATGATAGAACTATAACCTTGTTCCCTGGTAGAATGATAGAACTATGTGTAAGTTTTTTCATTGGTAACAAAACCACGCTTCTCACGCTTCTCTCTCATAACTTTGATGCATGCACTCTTTAATTTGGCCAAATCATTATAGCTTAGGTACACGGTAGTTTCTATATCGCTAATATTTCTGACTTTCCTCAAACATATCTGGCCCACTACTTCACAGAAAACTGCCCCAGTACTTCACTTTAATAACCGCTTGTAATTAATACGTGCATAGATGATATACTCCCTCCGTAACTTAAAAATCTTTCCACTTTCCTTTTTCGTCCGTAACTAAAAAATCTTCTCATTTCTAAATCTTCCCATCATACCCTCAATAATTTTGAAAATAATATACTATTACAACTGCCTTTTTTGGATTTATCCTTACTTCCATCACACTATTCCACTATCTTCCCATCATACCCTCAATAATTCATATTCTCTTTCACTATTCTTAATCTACCTACTTTTCAAATGTGAAGATTTTAAAGTTAAGGAGGAAGTATATCTTAAAAAATTTAATTTTTATTTTGCAGGTCCACGTCATTCATTCTTTTCCATTACTCCCTCCGTCCCCGAAAGAAGTTCTACAGGGGGTTAAATTTAATGTTTCCCCATTTGACTTTCACACACTTTTATGCAAGTAAACTTACCAGGGGGTAAATTTTATTGTTTTGACACTGTTTCGACATTGTTTGACACTGTTTTGCACTGTTTGGCATTGTTTTGATGTAGATAACTTTCCATTTAAGAAAATGAGAACTTAAATTAGGGACATCCAAATAAAGAAAGTGAGAACTTCTTTCGGAGACGGAGGGAGTATAATTTTAGACAAAGTGTAATTTTAAAGGGTTATAGGGGCCTGCATATGGCGCCCTTTGTTGTAATATTTAGTTTTATAGAATAGGAAGTGCAGGTTCCAGGTAGCATCTACTACACCAAGGTATGATTACATGCACTTTTAATCTTTAAATTAGGTTTTCTTGGTTTAATTGTCCTTCGTTATTTTTTAAAGTTTGAATTACATACTTTTCCCATCACAGTACCACATGAATTTTACTGAAATATTATATTATTTTTACTAAGTTTATATTTTATACGAAGTATTTTACAATGACATACGAATGTTTAGACTTCAGAAAATTGCAAACCCAAACTTTTTTGCTGTTTAATATTTCACAGTAGAAACGATAATTTTGCACAAAGTCACAATCCATAACTTTAAAACATAACAAATAGTAAAGTGGAATTAGAAACACAAATTTATATTAATTGAAATACCATACTTAGTTCACCCAATATTTACATCACACTGAATTTAGGGAAATACCTATATAAACAACACTTGATGTGTGCTAAACACATGCTTAGGGAAAGGAAATACTTGAAACAATTTGCTGTGTTCTAAACACAAGATTAGGGAAAGGAAATACTTAAAACAACTTGCTGTGTTCTAAAAACATGCTTAGGGAATGGAAAAACTCAAAAACAACTTGCTGGGTCTGGTTGACAAATAAATCCTAGAAGGGAATAAACCATCATACCTTTTCTATCTTCACACGAACTGCCTTGGTTTTTTTTGGCTAAAACCTTCTTCCCATCCACTTCTGTTGCTAGCCTTTTGCCTCTGGAAATATCAGACTCGTAGTGGGTGAGATTGTCTGTTGTCAGGTCTATGGGTTCCTGATTGTCTGGTCCTTCTTCTTGACTCTTCCCCATGACATTAGCAACTGCTTGTTGATCCTGTGTAGTTTTAGTAATTAGAACATTAGTATTTAGTAGTCTAACATTGGAGAGTTATCATTGAAGTATATTAGATCTACTAATAACAATGTTTTTACGAATAAAATAAATTTTACTCACATTGACGTGTGAGGACGTAGCCTCTGAGCTAGAAGTCTGTTCAACATTCCTTGGTTTAAAAGCATCACCATCCTTGGTTTTGACTTTAGCAACACTAAAAGCGTGTTCTCCTTTCTTTGAGTTTTCACTTTGGACTTGCACTAAACACAAAACTTTCTTTTCAATCAAATTGAAAATCTCAATGGGGGTGTCATCATCCTCATGGTTTTTCTGTAACAGTTTTATGATTATGCTCAGTGACCAATTTTAGAACTTAAAGGTATAAATTTGTTTTTACCCAAAAGTTCTTGGCTAGCATTGTCCCACAGAAATAGTGTTGCATTTCCACTTTTGTCCATTAGGGGAATTTTTAACTTGTATAGTTGTACCTACACACATGACAATCGTTGTAGTTTTGAAAAATAATAAAAGTAACTTCGCTGATAGTATGTATTTCACTTTTTAACATACCTCATGACATCTTCATTTGTTTTGCAATTTGGGTTTAGGCACCCAAACCTACCGCACTTTGGTGCAACCTTTCTAGCACACTCTTTACATGCCATGTACCACCAGCCTTCACCTAGGTCGATATCTATGATTTCCCCATATATCCAAAAACGCCCAACCTATACAAAGCCATAGTAACTTGAAAAAATTGTGAATTATAAAGTTATTTCTTATGTATAATAATTTTTTTACCGTGTCCTTCTCAAATAGTTAGTCAATAGAGATGATTTCATCTTTGTTTGTGTTGACTTCATCAGTGTCATAAGAGGTGACCACAATTGGAGTTCCAGTGAACCCATCATCTCCATGAACGTCAAACCTGTAAATAGTTTTTTTAGTCAAATATAAAGTAGAGTTCTTATACTAATTAGATAGGTTTTATGTTTTTAGGTTGGTCACTGCCGTTAATAATTACCTGTCTTTGTAGTCACTGATCTCTTGGTCACTACCGTTAATAATTAGCTTGGTTGCAAAGTATGAATTTATCGCTGAAAGTTCCCCTGCATAGAATCTGGAGTTACTATTGAGGTCTAGAAACAAACAACACTTAAAAACGATGTAAAAACCTGTACCTTTGTATACTTTGGGTTTGCAAAAGAGAATGGCGGCCATCATAAAGTTGGGGCACTTCTCATGTTTTTCTTTGATAACATCAACAAAAGGGCCCCACAGTGTGCACTTAAATGTCCTTTGCCTGCGGTGTCAGATAGGTTTTTAAAGTTATACTACATAGCTTAGGGTATTCTGAAAATGAAAGAGTCAAAGAATTAGAAAATAACCGAGGATCTTCAAGCCCAATCTCACACAACTTTTGGCATTCTCCATTGAACTCATGTGGTCTAGGGTAATGAATTGACCTGATGCTGCCGATGATATCTATAGAATAACATTTCCTTTGGTCAGGAACCATTGACAGTAGATCAAAGAATTTAAAAGTATAACACACATACCAAACAGTTCAAATTCGCCAACTTGGTTAGGATTTGCAAGAGTCACGAATGGCCTGAAGTTGAACATGAAAGAAGGGAAGTTGTTATCATCGTAATCCACCATCGTTGTTTTGTGGTTGAAGAGGATTTTGTATGGCAGCGAGGTAGTCTTGTATTTTAAGTCGTTCGGAGTAATAATGAAGTTCCTCAGGCTGTACAAATTCCCTTCCTTCAACCTTTCTTTGAATCCCATGATTCTCTCACGACGTATAGTCGCATGAACTCGGTCACTCTAGATGTAAAATTAATGTTATACTCTAGGTCAAAGGAATAATACAACATATTAGATATACTTTTAATTTATACCTCAGAATCGTGAAACACGCATTCCCATGTGTTTGTGACATTCTTGTTCGAGAATGATGGAGTTGCATATGCTCGGATAAGCCTAGCTCACTCTTAGCGCCCAGTTAGTCCTAGACTTGTTGATCTCCTTCACTTTGTCGTACAACATTTTGGTAACTTTCCGCTAGAACACTCTCAGTATACAATCGTTCCTTGCCAGTGGTGAAATACTTCACCACATAGGTGTATTTATAGCACCTTAGAGTAGTTTAACCATTGCATGATGTTGTACGTGTGTAGTGGGTGGTTACTAAGAAGTTGTAGAAACTGCCATTGGCCATAAAATTCAACATCTGTACAATCTGATTATTACGTGTGCTCCACCGTTGTGATAAACTTTTAATATATTTAATTATGTGTCCTCCCTAATTAAATATGAGATGTAAATATATTCATCGTATTTTCATCGTATATTAACCGTTATAATAATATTACATGTTCTCTATATTTGACTTTCGTAATTAAATATGTTATGTGAATATATGTTATCCATTATTGAATCATTTATATTCGCATTTTACTTTTTTTTTCGCTTGTTCCTCGTAATTTGATGTTGCACTGAATATATTCAGTCCAATGCCAACATAATATATAAATTTTTAAATTTTAAATTGCACGTGAGTCACTATATATGTTATGTCCTTTGCCGACGTAAACATCTAATCTAAAAATTCAATGCATAGAGAGTTACACGTTTTTTTTCATAAAAAGGTTATTTTATATTATAAATAATATTTATTTTCACATGGTTACCATATTCCAACTAATATCACTCCAAAAAGTTCGGCCATTAAAGAATCAACATAGCAATACGACACGTGTCCACCAATTAGTTACAGGAGAGTAGTAGAATTCGATACAATGGAATCAGGTGGGAACAGTTATTGCCAGCCGATCCCATTGTTATATATATAAAGATTAGTAAGTACTCTTATTTATGGAAAACTATAATGCTCATATTTAAAAAATCACATCGTTTTTACTCTTAGAAAAATTTTTATGCACATTTCATTAAAATCAAGTTTGTATACTTAAAATTAGGAGTGTTTTCAGTTAGAGATGCTAATATCATACACATATTAATGTTATTGCATGAAAGATAAAATTTGAAGGACACATTTATTTAAATACAAAAATGATTCATGATGGAAAAAAGTGAATTTTATCTTTTCAAACTTTAGAGAGCTTCTCAATAATATATTGGAAATTGTAACTCGTGTATCTAAATATTTAATATTTATTCACATTCATGCTACACACTCTTTCACAATTTTATAGAACAATCTTTGCTCAACATGTTATCATGTTTAAATCATTATTACACTTTTAAAACTGTACAATTAGACTGAAACACGAGCCAACTGACTTAAATATACTACACATTGATCAAATTTGAAGGTTACCTTCTACTCATTCATTCACATTTTTATGAAATAATGCAACTAAATCATTATTTACAAAAATGAGGTCTAGTTAAAAGTATTTATCAAAATACTATTGAACTAAATCGTTCATAGTACATAATGCCCTGTCTAATTAATTGTCATTCTACTGTAATGGTGAATACTGTTCATTTTACAACAAGTGACAATTGTTTTAACTTCTTCACCATTGATCACAAGGTTCACCACGATTACACTGATTGTCCCATCATTGCTAATGTAGTGTGTACAATTTACCTTTAAAAATAAAATAAATAGATAAAAATATATTATTATTATTATTATTATTATTATTATTATTATTATTATTATTATTATTATTATTATTATTATTATTATTATTATTATTATTATTATTATTATTATTATTATTATTATTATTATTATTATTATTATTATTATTATTATTATTATTATTATTATTATTATTATTATTATTATTATTATTATTATTATTATTATTATTATTATTATTATTATTATTATTATTATTATTATTATTATTATTATTATTATTATTATTATTATTATTATTATTATTATTATTATTATTATTATTATTATTATTATTATTATTATTATTATTATTATTATTATTATTATTATTATTATTATTATTATTATTATTATTATTATTATTATTATTATTATTATTATTATTATTATTATTATTATTATTATTATTATTATTATTATTATTATTATTATTATTATTATTATTATTATTATTATTATTATTATTATTATTATTATTATTATTATTATTATTATTATTATTATTATTATTATTATTATTATTATTATTATTATTATTATTATTATTATTATTATTATTATTATTATTATTATTATTATTATTATTATTATTATTATTATTATTATTATTATTATTATTATTATTATTATTATTATTATTATTATTATTATTATTATTATTATTATTATTATTATTATTATTATTATTATTATTATTATTATTATTATTATTATTATTATTATTATTATTATTATTATTATTATTATTATTATTATTATTATTATTATTATTATTATTATTATTATTATTATTATTATTATTATTATTATTATTATTATTATTATTATTATTATTATTATTATTATTATTATTATTATTATTATTATTATTATTATTATTATTATTATTATTATTATTATTATTATTATTATTATTATTATTATTATTATTATTATTACTATTATTACTATTATTACTATTATTACTATTATTACTATTATTACTATTATTACTATTATTATTATTATTATTATTATTATTATTATTATTATTATTATTATTATTATTATTATTATTATTATTATTATTATTATTATTATTATTATTATTATTATTATTATTATTATTATTATTATTATTATTATTATTATTATTATTATTATTATTATTATTATTATTATTATTATTATTATTATTATTATTATTATTATTATTATTATTATTATTATTATTATTATTATTATTATTATTATTATTATTATTATTATTATTATTATTATTATTATTATTATTATTATTATTATTATTATTATTATTATTATTATTATTATTATTATTATTATTATTATTATTATTATTATTATTATTATTATTATTATTATTATTATTATTATTATTATTATTATTATTATTATTATTATTATTATTATTATTATTATTATTATTATTATTATTATTATTATTATTATTATTATTATTATTATTATTATTATTATTATTATTATTATTATTATTATTATTATTATTATTATTATTATTATTATTATTATTATTATTATTATTATTATTATTATTATTATTATTATTATTATTATTATTATTATTATTATTATTATTATTATTATTATTATTATTATTATTATTATTATTATTATTATTATTATTATTATTATTATTATTATTATTATTATTATTATTATTATTATTATTATTATTATTATTATTATTATTATTATTATTATTATTATTATTATTATTATTATTATTATTATTATTATTATTATTATTATTATTATTATTATTATTATTATTATTATTAGTAACATTAAATTAAAACTAATGCTTCAACATGAAAATGGAAACTACATATAATTAATTAAAATAAAGCCTGAACTAAATTAAA